TAGTAAATTATAAGGTTGTCTATCATTACTCAGAGGTAAAATATCTTAGCTCAGGAGAGAGAAAACCCTTACATCAACGCAGCACAGACTGAAGTCAGATGGGGGTGAGGGGAAGAAAGTAACCAGGTTTTGTTGGGTTTGGTTGCACCCGTATCCTAGTGGTTCTCAACCTTCCTAATACTGCCACCCTTTAATACAGTTCCTCATATTGTGGTGACCCCAAACCATAACATTATTTTTGCTGTTGCTTCACAACTGTAATTTTGCTACTGTTATGAATCGTTATGTAAATATCTGTGTTTTCTGATGGTCTTAGACAGCCCCTGAGAATGGGGTCGGGACCCACATGTTGGAAACCGCTAAACTAACCAGTAGTGGAACTTCAGGCAAGTCTTTTAGCCACCTAGAACTTCAGTAGGAGAGCGGGTAGGCTTCCCAACGCCGACCTTCCAGGGCCCTTTCAGCCTCTCCAGGTGTCACTTCCCGTTCCATTTGTCCACTGCTAAAAGCACAACCGCAGGGAGCTCAGGCAGAGAAAAGAAAAGAGAGGAACCAGGAGGCAGAGAGGAGCAAGAGTCTGGTGGTGCTGTGACCCTGCCCGCTTACCCGCGATGTCCCACAGCTGCAGGCGCACTAGCGTCCTGCTGTCCCAGTTGAAGACTTTGAGGGCGATGTCCACGCCGATGGTGGCGCGGTAGTGCTGGGAGAAGAGCTGGTGCACAAAGCTCTTGATGATGCTGGTTTTGCCCACGCCGAGCTCGCCGATGACCAGCACCTTGAAGAAGTATTCACGGGTCTCAGGAGCCGCGGTGGCCGTCGCCCCCTGTTGCCCGAGTCCCTCGCCCGTCATAGGCACCACTGCCGTGGAAACTTCTCTCAAGGCCAGCAGGGCAGATCCTCCGTCCGCGCACTCGGCGATGCTGTCCCGCGAGTCACCGGACCCGGAACCCACTGCGCATAGCTGGCCCGGGAGAGTCTGGGTGCACCCCGCACTGGGTGAGCCGGGCAGCAGCACTTCCTCTTCCCGCGCCACCACTCGCGGTCCATGGTGCCCCCTGCTGGCCTCAGACTTCACAGGGAGGCGGGACGTTGGCGCAAGACTGAGCCCCTGCCCTTGATTTCTAACAATAAAGGGAACAGATGACAGAATTTCGCAAAGGACTAAGGCTGGGTCCTATGATAAACCTAGTTTTAATGTGTTAGAGGAAGCTGAGTGCTGCTTTCCGTTAATGACTTCAATTTACATCGTCAGCAATGGCGTTCGAGCATCAGTGTTGAGGATGGTCTTGCCTCACTGGTGGTCTAAGTAAGCCTCTAATCAGAGGAATCATCTGTTTGTCTAGCAGATGATAGAATGATCAGTTATGACTCTCTTGGCTCATGGGCAAGGGGATGCCTTTTGCATCTCCGTTTAAATAAGAGCTTAATAGGGATTAATCTTGAGTGCATTAACCCTTATAACATAGGAGCATATATTATCATATGAAAGAGGAACTATTACAACAAAATAATCATCAGGAGTTGATTCTCCTGCAAGCTGGATAATGCACAGCACAGAGTAGAATTGTCTTAAAGAAGAATTTGAAGTAAGCAGGATAAAGCAAGGCAACAGCTTTGTAACCCCAGATATTCAGGATGCTAATGCAAGAGAACCACTTGTTGCAGATTAGTCTGAGTTACATCATGAGCTCTTGTCTCCAAAAACCCAAAGTAACAAAAACAAAGAAAAAAATTCCAGAACAGTCAAGGAAACAAAGGCTACCATATGAGATCAACTTGTTCTGTTAGTGCCAAATGAGCAGAATGAAAAGCATGTGGAGAAGAGACAGCACAGCCAACAGAAGGAAGCCTTGAAGAAGCTTGTAGAGTCCTGCCTAGACAGGCTAGGGGGCATAAGTTAGGCATGTGTAGGCCATCAGAACCTGATGGAAAGAATCAGTCTTCAACCCTCTTGTTGCTACAAGGTATTCTGGCTGCCTTAGAGAATCCCATATTTGTACCATCTAGAGTTTTTAGCTTGTTTTCTTGGGTTTTTA